GTGTGTGTGCCGTGGTGCCCTGTTGATAGGTGTGTGTGCCGTGGTGGCCTGTTGATAGGTGTGTGTGCCGTGGTGCCCTGTTGATAGGTGTGTGTGTGTGTGCTGTGGTGGCCTGTTGATAGGTGTGTGTGCCGTGGTGCCCTGTTGATAGGTGTGTGTGCCGTGGTGGCCTGTTGATAGGTGTGTGTGCCGTGACAACAATTGTAAAATGCGTGTCAGTGCAGCACTGGCAACTGCCAAGGTTGGCATCAGGACAGAAGTGTGCTTTGGCGCGGAGGTGGTGAGTGCGGTATTGTGCATCAGTGCCGGTCGGCATTATAATGGTGATGGACCTGCACATGAATGGTAATGACTTGCAGTCCAGTCTGTACCATGTATGCCACCGGCCGGGCTGGTAGATGACGATGGGATAGTAAATGGCTGCATTCTCCTGATACAGACGACGGCCACGAGTCGGGTGGAGACAATTGACACCTGAAAGTAATATTTTCGAATGTCTCCTGAACCGTCACCTATCCACAAACTGACTCCTTCCTGAATTTGTTTCCTATATTCCACTATGAAGGAACAGCAGATGGAACCTCAGGGGCGGTAACATCAGCTGGGAAGGCGATGACATCACCAGATCGGAGGGGCTGTGACCAAACTAGCAGTGGCGGGGCAGTGAAGCTGAACAGACCCCCTACCTGGGTATCTCCTCAGGCTAACAAAGGTCACATGACCAGATCCGCGCTTTTAAATCTTACGCACGTCACGTGACACCCGTCGGCGCATGGCCCCCACTGTCCCCGCGGCGCGGCTGCTGATAAAGTTATTGAGGAGGCGGCCAAGGTCAGGAGCACGTGGTCGCAAGTAACCTTGACTACCAGAGGGAAGCGGCGCGCCGTTGGCGAGCTCTCGCGAGATCGGGCGCTCTTTACTACAGGGATATCGCGAGACTTGGCTAGCCGCTCTTCCTGCTTGGAGGTCAACATGTCTGAGAAGGAGCTCGGGAGGAAATGGGACCGCTGCCTGGCTGACGCCGCCGTTAAATTCGGTAAGGAGGAGGAGGAGGGGCGGCAGTCGGGCACCTCACTTTGGGGGGACAGCTCCGCCTTTCTTAAGTCACATGTGGGAGCGCCTCGCTTCTCTCTATATGTCATTATAATGTCTTCTCATATGTGTCACATGACCCTCCCTCATTTACATTCAGGTAAACTCGTGTAACTGTCGCCTGATTTGCATAATTGGCACCTCCCCCTGCTTCATTTACATGTGTCACTGTATATATGATCCCAGTGATGTCATCACTGAGTTTTTGTGCTTCTCTATGCAATGCAGGCAACTCATGGCTGGTGGGAGGGGCCAGCCAGGGGCTGTACATAGCTTCCTGAAGACATCACAGCACCCTGCCTCAGTACTCCTCTCAACAGCCCTCAGTCCTGATACAAGCAGCGGGTGGGCTCTTGGGAGGAGTTATGCAAATATTAAATGTCCATCCAGTCCTGAGATTTACACAGCTCTGCCCGCTTGGTGACCTGCCCTTTCTCTGCTGCAGCTAAAGTAATACAGCTTGGTCATCTCCCTGCCCCCCCCTAGCTTGGGACTGGACAGGGATGGAGTAGCAACAGGCTGATAAGATCCTCTCTCCTCCTGTCAGCATGCTCCTTTTTTGAATAGAAAAGAGGTCGCTCTGACATTCCAGGAGGAGGAGCCCCCAAATGTTTCATTCCGGGGGGCATACACTTTGTTTTTTTGGAATCTCGCAAAATTGTTATTCCCGTAAAAGTTCTAATTGGCCCCAAAATTTGGGGAGAATCCTCCTTGCAGCTGCGGCGGGGCG